ATCTATGAACATTCTATGTTTTAAATGTTTAAATTTTGTACTATATGCATATTTTTATCAAAATATTGCAAAAGAAAGATACATTTCTTTTATTTTATAAGTATTTTTCAAGAAAACAATTTGAGCACAAATGTGAAGAATTCACTTGTCAGCCATGTGATTACTTTAGAATGCTGCCAGATTCAAAAAACTTAAAATTATCAAAAATTATACAGTAATATGTAGACTTAGGCTATTTTTGAACATATTTTTAAAATTAAAATATGCAATTCATAAAAAAAAAATTTCACTTAAAAGTTGACACTTTCGTGGAATTGCCCTTTTATAAGACTGGATGCAAAAGGATTCAGTTCTCATTCTTAATTCAATAAAACATCCCAAATAGTGGTTCTTTCTTCGTTATTATAATCATTCAAAAAATGAAGAGAAAATCTCTTATAGATAACTCTCTTAAAAACTAACTCTGCCAGGTGAAACTTGAGAAAAACTACTTTTATTCACATCGCTTACCTTGCACAATGCCACAATTTCTTTCATGTGCCACATCTGTACAACAAAAAAATTTGTGGGTATAGAGTCACCATAGTTCATTTTTGAATTCATGCAACAGAATGTAACACAGACCATCACCAATAGTCTTATTAGTATAGCTCTAGTGTAGCAGTGATAATCAAATCCAAAAAAAATTTGAATTAAATTTTAGAAGCAACAGTATACAACACAGAGCATCACCAATACATTAGTACTGCTCTAAAAAGATATTAATTAAATCAAAATTATTTTTGATTTGATTAGATCAAAAATAATTTTGATTTGAATTACAGAAACAACAGTGTGTTACAGACCACAAACCATCAACAATAACCCTTTGGTATAGCTCTAGTGTGACATTAATAATTAATTCAAAATTGTTTTATTTATTATCTTTGAAATTGAAATTTTGTTTTCTATTAATAAATCTATCTTTTTCTTAGGTGCTGTTTGAAATATTCTCAAGGAAATCTAAAGTTTTTAAAAATACATCTTCCATGCATTTGTACTTTATTGCATTTATTTAAACTTTTCTTTGTGAGACCTAAGCTTAAAAAAGCTGTTTTTTTAAAAATTTATTTTGATTTGTGTAATGCTCACTGCATTTTTATATCTATATATCTTTTAGTCATTTTAAAGTATTATTTAAGAAATAATTTTTAAGTACACAGAGTAAGATTATCAAATTAATGTTCTGCTTATTTGTAAAGTATTAAATTTAATTAAACTGTTAACACATAGTTGACGAATAAGTTTTTAAAATTCTGAATAAGCTGTTATATTGTAGTGGAGATACAATTCACCGTGTTTACAACTTTTATAACAATATCGTTATGATAAATGTGGGGGAAAATATTGTTTTCTAGCTCTTGAAATAAAATACTAGATTTTTCAACCTTTATTGTCGAGTGTTTAATATTTTAAATATCTTAATGCCTATGCAAACTAAAATTTGTCTAATAATTGATGTAATAGCAAATGAGTTCTAAGTTCTTATTAAAAAAATGTAAACAAAGTGTTAACTTATAAGATTTAATCTTGGTAATTAGATCACTCTTGTAACTCTTGTATGAAAGATAAGTGTTGCAAGTAAATAAGATTATAAGATTTTTTCATTGTTATTTTGCTGAGAATTTTCAAAGTATATGAATTCCTTTTTTTTCTCTCCATAAATTGTAATCAATATAGCTAATATGTGTGTTTAAAGATTGTTGAAAGTATTATTGTTTATAATTCTTGCCATGAATATCTTATTACTGAAGCTCAATAATAAATCCTATTTTTATCTATAAAAAAACTTAGCTGTTTTTTTTTCTTCTTCTACTTGTAATTTTATTTTCTGTCTAACTCACTATAATTGGGAACAAATAGGCTAAGGTAATTCACTTGGTCAGATAGGCCAAGTTTATCAAACCGCAGACCATAGCACTAAAAAATAAACTTGAAAATTCCCAAAAATATATTTCTTCTTAAAATTTTATTTACTTTACGATAAAAAAATTTGAGAATTTTGTTTACTTTAACTTTTTAAGCCTTTCTTTAGCAGTTGTTCGATTTATATTATTCAAGGCATTAAACACATTACAATCAATACTTTTATAAGGGAAACAACACATTGTTGAACATTAAACTATTTTGTTAAAACTTCATTCATGTTTTTGTTGCTCTTTTTTTCAAACAATTGCCATGATACTTTTGATTATTAAAAACTTTGTGAAATTTCTCTTCATTTTACAATACAACTGCAGAAATGGTTGTTGAAACTTTCATCCCCAAACATTTTGAAATGTCAACTTTGACTTATACTCTATTAAAATTTTTATCAAATTCTTCGAAAATCTTAATACTATTGCTAAATAAATATTAATTCAAAAATGATATATTCCTATTTTTACCTAAATGATTTAAGGTCTTTGTTTGATATAAAATTACAATTTATATTATGGCACAATATTTGAAGAAAAAAAGTATTAAAATATCTATGTTCAAAATATTGATATTGTGCAAAACCATTATAAGAAAAATGTAAATATCAATGTGCATACTTCATTTATAAATATAATACAACATGGAGATAATTTAGAGAATATTCATGAGCTGATAAACTATGACAAATATGTTACATATATGTTACATATACACAGCAAATATATTACATAAATCTTTGTTATATCTTTTCAAATAACTTTTTGTGTGCTAAATAAATTATTTGTTTTTGAAATTTATATACTTTTTCAAAAGTTCTATCCAACAGGCTCCAAAATAATAAATGTGATTAGTAAAATTTGAAGTTACACTTTAAATAATTGTCACAATATTCATTTAAATAATGTTTTTTCTAAATAATTTTCATAAGATTGATAAATTTGTTTCCTGTTTTAACCTATAAGACCTGATCTTTTAATAGTCTGAGTCTAGCACTTTTTTACAATATCTGCCAATACTGTAAGGCAAATTATGTGCTTTATACAAATGCTAATATTTTCTCGTTCTTACATTTTATTTTATAACCGTCGTTGAACAGCCGACCCAATTTTATAGGTTTACAATACTAATGTTCAACTTCGTAGCCTTGTAATTTTGAACCCAATCCAGAAGACAAGGTAACTCCTGGATCAAGTAATGGGAAAAATGTTCCTTCATGGAGGACTTTTTAATTGAGCTACCCCGCATTTGGGTTACATGGAGAGGAAGACCCCAAAACCTCTCACGGTTAGCTTGACAGCAAGGGGATTCTAATCCATGATCCGTCTACCACTGAGGATATTTCAGATGCGGAACAAGTCAGATGCAGAATTCATATAGACTGGGATTCGAACCCGATTTGCTTCACTGGAAGGCGAACGCTCTATCCCCTGTGTCATCGCGGCTCTCACTCTTACATTGTGAACTTTTTTTGATATTTTCTTCTGGGTAAAGAATTTTACAGTCACTAGTCATCAAAGAATGCATTTCTAAAGAATATGGCACATGGCTCATAAACATATAATCGGAAAAGTACATGACATGAGCAGAAAGAGATAGAATCTTTTCAATAGATTTCACGTAGCAATATTTTATGTTGCTCGTAGCAATAACGAAACATACTTCTTTTTTACCTGTTGCTACAGCTACACTATAGTTAGTCAATTTATGACTAGATCAATAATATACCTTTCAGGGTAGCCACAGAACAGGGAAAATTAATAAATTTATGTGTGAAGTACCTAATAGATCCCTTTTTTTTTTAGATGCTTTATTTTAAGTCTGTTTATTTATGCAGTCATGAATTTCATATTAACTGCTTATTTCGTTCCCAAGATAAGTAAATGTAATTGGTTTTCATTAATTTAATTTTTGCGGATATACTTTTTTACATAGGAGTTTTGCAAAATGGTCATCTTAGCATGCAATGGTCGAGAATGCCTTTAAAATAATTTAAAGGGGCGAGATATCACAAATAAATGTTAATAGCAGAATCCCCAATTTAAAAAATATGAATACTCAAATTATATTTGAAGTAGTTGAAACCCATGTTAAAATTTTAATAATGTTTTTGTTTATTATAATGGGAAAAAAATATATCATTCACATTGGATTTCATCTGTTGTTGTTATTTTAAGGTTATGTAATACATAAATGCAACACTGTCAGTAAATATAATCTAATTGGAAATCTGGACGTGACTCCAATGTCTCTAATTTAATCTTGGCGTAAATTGGCATATTAAATTTCGATATATTTATTATTCTTGAACAATTAAAAACTTATCACCAAGATAGTACTTGGTTTTTATAAATTGCACCCTCCTCTAACATGTCAGTGAGAAGAACTATAAGTGCAACCCAATAGAAGTGTGATTTGCATGCAAGGGGTTATAATTGAAGCAATTACAGAGCGCAGTGCATCACTGCTCGTTTATAGGGTTGTATTTTGTTGTCGAAGTATTAGATATACCTTTATTTTGGATAGCATTTTATTTTAGGTAAATAAGAGCATTTTAACTTATGTTTTTCAACAAGCAAGTGGAAGAAAAAAAAGCTCTTGGAAGGGGGAAAATTATAGTAAAGAGTCCGACACCCGTTTACTCGGCACTTTACGCAGCCGATTGCACCTCAGATTGGCCCTGTTCTTGTGTGACTAGCCAGAATATGACTGCTTTGCATTAGGACGAATGCCCTGCACTATCTGCTTTCTCTAGTCGAGTGAATAAATATTGAAAAGCCCTCGTGCGAATGACTGATATTTGATAAATAAATATAATGCACTTTTACTACACTTTTTAATTAACATGCAGTTTTAGAGCTTATTATTGAACATCGATATTTTTATTAGGTATACCAATTGATCATTTTCTGCAAATGAAAAAAATACATCATTAGCCTTAAATTTATAACATGATTAACGTAACAGCGGGTTAATGCATGATGAATGAGTGAATGAATAAGTCTTTCAAAGAAAAACTAGAGCGAATCAGTGAGTAAGTTAAATAGTGAATACGGTAATCAGTTTTTAAATAATGCCCCAAAGTGATAATTTTGCGCCGTTTGTGTTATGAAAATGTTAATAAAAAAAACAAATGTCGTATTTTTGGATTAAAAGTGAAGCATATCTGGAAAAAAAAACATATTCGTTATTGAATATAGTTATGGTTATTGTCCATTTTTGAGGATCAGAATTAGTCAGCTAGATTTTTCAGTTTAACACTATTTATTTCCTTGGAGATTTTCAATCACTCATACTTTGAAGGATAAAACTGAATTCCGCATCAGCAAAATTCAGCCAAATTTATTCATAAAAATCATTGAAAATTTTAAATAAAGAATGCATATGTGACAGCAAAGCCCCTTTCATTACCGAATATGCTATACCATACGCAACCCTTTTCTATTTTATGAATTTGTAAAATGTTCACAATTTTTAATTGAATCCTTTAATGTTTCACCAAAATTCATTTTTTGCCTAAAATGGGATACCTGCAAGTCGTAGGTAAATCATGGCATTGATCGATCCAGAAACCAATCTGATTGGTTCAGGTTCGACATGCTCCCGTGACTCCGCTTACTGGTATCCAATTTAATCTTATATAAATCACATGATTCGGCATAATCACTTCACTTCTCGAGTTGCAAGTACCCAAGTCACCTTGTAAATAAAAAAAATCTTAAATATGATACGACTGCCATGATGATATTCACGCAATTATTTGAATTGAATTACGCATTTGATTGCAACGCTCAAATACGCCATCTGGGGAAAAGACCGGTTCCATGACTTGAATCTTCTGCTTCTCTTCTCAGTACAGAAATGTTCAATTATATTCTTCGTGTTTAGTTCCCTAAAAAGTTTTTCATCTATTAAAAATCAAGACAGAAAATAACGTACTTCTTTCTCCTATGACTATCCACACGCTAATGGGGAAAACATGCAAAAAGTTGCCTTGTAGATAGTTTGCTCATCGTAACTGCAGCCCATTTCGATTGCCAATGGTACAGTTATATATGGTACGGTATAGTTGGAGATCATACTATTTGTTTAAACTCTATTTATCGTACTGCGATACGATAAAAAAAATAGTTCAACATATCTAACTTTCAGATCGGTTTTTTTATGTATTGATCAAGGGATATGGATGGATGACCGTGTAAAGCTAAGTACAGATTGCGCTATGGGTTAAAATTAGTCGTAAGACTTCCGAGTTACTGCTTCCAGTTGATTTTTACGCCGATTGAAAAAGCACGCCATCCAATATTATTATACTTGTAATATTTACAATGTAACGCGTTCTTTCAATTTAAATCTCAACAACACAAACAATAAATGAATTCGGAAGACTGTGCAAGCGTGCTATGATGCAACTCAAAAAATTACAAACTGTGATACTTTCCACTAATGTAGACAAATGAAAATAACGCTTCAAAACTTGGCAAACCTTGCACTTTATTTATGTTTTGATATTAATTTTCTTAAATTTGTTTTAGGCTCACAATCAGTTAATTACAGGAAAGTCTTATGAGTATTAAAATTGCGCGTAAATTAAAGCACAAATTACAGTAACAAAACTTCCTTGAATATGAACCCTTTTCAAACATCGCCTCGTAAGCGTACCATAAGCAAATGAGAAAGCAGAAGTTTTCTGAATTTCTTCCGATTTTAGTAATCTTGTTATTGTTTATATTCAGTCAACCATCCATTTAAATCCAGCAGAAATAAATAAATGCTATTTGGATTGAAGAAAAAAAATACATCTTATAGGCGGTCTACCTTGTATTGTTATCACACGTTTTGTAATTATTTATCCTTTGCCAATGCTATGGT